ATGAGCTGAAAGAAAGCTTTGTGAACTGGTTCCAAAGAGCTGCAGGTCCGTACAGAGCCTGAGTGACGTTTTATGTTACCACTAAAATCCCCCGTCATACGGCTCCTCATCTTCAGGTGAGAACTCTGACTCTGCAGAGGAACGCAGAAATCTGAGCCCAAAGTCACATCCTGCAAAGGCCAGAGGGAACAAACCCTTCTGACGGCATCTTCAACACCTCTCAGGTTTTCTCTGCACATATACGTTTCCTCTGGAAGGTCTGGAAAAGTAGAAGAAGGAACCCACCTGCTGGCCGGGCAGAGGAATGAGTCCCATCTGAGGATCAGATCTACTGGCTGGGATAATGACTGAGCCGGCAGGAGGGGAACATCTCTTTAATCAGGTTTCTGTCCTCATTCTGATGTGAACAACAGTTCATTCAATCAAAGCCGCTCCATCAGCAAACAACCGTCTCTGTCAAAGGGAAGCAGTTTCAATTCCCAGCTGGAGTTTGCAGTGATTAGCTGATGGAGAAAGAGGCCAGACAGCCAGACTCGTTTCTTCTCAGGAAAAGACAGAGCTGCAGAGGGTCAAGTGACTTGGGGGGGGCTGATTTTAACAAGTGTTTCTGACCAGATGGATGGAAACACAATGTACAGATACAGCTTTTAAATCAGGGGGAATCAAAGTTGTATGAGGTCAGATATCTGTCAGAACGGCCCTGAATTGGGGAAATGAAAGTCAACAATATTAAGATATTTAGGATTATTTCTGTTCCCAGCTCATAGAAACGTGTGACATCATTGGGGTTATTTTGACTTACGGGGGACGTAGAAAAAAAAACGCTGCACCATATTTGTTCAAAAATAGTGGCGGGAAACATAAAGTCTCCTACTGTTAATCGGAGGAAGTAAACACTGGACGCTACCCCGTGATCTGACTCACAAATGACTACGCATAGTTTGAGCCTGTTAACTATTTAATTTTCTCAACTTTGTCGTCTAAAATTCACCTAAAGGTGAGAAATATTTATCAACATCTGATGAAAAGTTCACTATAAATTAGATTAAATTCAGCTTATTTCTATAGTGTCAATTCAAAACACATGTCATCTCAAGGCACTTTCCAGTTCACCAGTCAGATTGATTCAAAGTTTCTATCTTAGGAAAACCAGCTGATTGCATCGACTCATTGACTCTTCAGCAATCTCTCACACTAAGCATGCTTGTAGCGACAGTGGAGAGGAAAAACTCCCTTTTAACAGGAAGAAACAGGAGGAGCTGGAGGCGATGGGAGATTCAGGTTGGTTCGTCTTCGTCTTGATAAAACACTTTAAATGGTCCAACATGTCCAACTAATCCAGCTGTGTTGATTTGGTCTGACGTTTGGTAGAAAGGGCCAATGGGGACCAGGGCCCCAGTAGATCATGTCCTGGCCCCTGTTCTGCGCTGGAACTGACATGGTTACTGATGGGTCCTTTGGATCTATTTCATTTGTATCTTCAAAAAATTCTGTTTTACTAATTATTTAAAAAGAAAAGTGATCGCTTCAGTGGTATTGAGATAGGATCCCGGTTTTTATTTGCTAAATGTTTTTTTCAAAACAAAACAAACTGCTCTAATTTTTACAGCTGAATTTATCAGTTTTTTATTCTAATTCTGATTTTATAGAAAACTGTAATTTTAACTTGAGTTAAAAATATGTAGAATTCCTAAATCATGTGTATTGACCTAATATTCCATATAATAGCTTTATCTGATCTTTTAGATATTTTTTATAGCTACGGGATTTTTATTTTAATTTTAACAATAATCCAAATGAACATTTTCAAGCAAAAAATAAATATTTTAAGCAGGAAGACATAACTTTAATTAAACCTAATTGAATGTAAATTTTACTTCCTGCATCTCTCTATATATAATTGAATCCCTTGGCCTGTATTTTTTTGTTTTATGCTTTTCTGTGACCCATGAAAACAGGCTTCCCACAACCCTTCCTTACCTTTAGTGTCTGCTCCAGCTTTACTTCCTAAACATCTGCAGACACCTTTCAGCTCAACAGACTAACATAAAGTACACTAGTTTACCTTTAACCTATTATCAATCTGTATGTTTTCCAGACTACATCACTGTCAGGGTTTGGTTGAGGTGTTGAGTACCCAAATGTAGGGGCGAGGAGGCAGAGGTGAGTTCTTGAAGATTTAATTGAATAACTGAGGCAAAAAAATCCAAAAACCAAAAATAGACAATACATGGAAGTTGGAACCAAAAACTAGCCAACTTCATGGAGCCAGGGAAAGAAGAGGAACCAGCACTGAGGAACTGCACAGGGAGAGTGTATATGGGAGACTGAACAAGACAGGACTAATGAGCTAATCGGGAGCAGGTGTGAACAGAGGAGTCTAGAAGGGAGCTAGGGAAAAGGAGACCAAGACAACAGGACAACAAAGAAACAGCTAAGAACTCAAACACATCAAGAAAACACAACAAAATAGGAATTAAACCAATAAAACTAGAAAAAAAGCAAAACATGAAAAATGAAACTGAATACTCAAAAGAAAACTTAACAGAACCAAGATCGTGACAATCACACACTGGAAAAAAGATCTAAAAATAAGTAGAAATATCTTAAATTAAGTGTATTTACGCTTAATTTGAGTAGGTAAATGAGAAAGTTTGCCAATGGAATGAGTATTTTTGCTCTTAAAATAAGAAAATGAGATAAAAAGCACCTGAAATAAGACAATGCTATTGTGTTTTCTTATTGTAAGTGTAAATTGTCTTGTTCCATTGGCAAAATCTCTCTTTTACTTCTACTTTTACTATTACTTTTCTTTTCCATTCTAACTGGATTTTCTCTGTTTCATGGATTTGAATTCCTACATATGAACTAAATGTTTCTTCTCAGTTTTGCAAAAAGATTAATCTTAAAATATAACTACGTCAGAGTCTTCTAAGGGAACTTCTAAACCCTTTTCATTCTTGGAGTAGCCATTTAAAACACATTCTTTCCTTGTTTAAGATGATTGTCTGTCTATCTGAACCTGACTGATGGATTCCACACAAAGATGGGTGGATTAGATTGGTGTTGGGCGTTTCTTTGCTCTCGTACATGTGAACTGGGTCAGCTCTTCTTAAAATACTCCCCTCTCCTCTGAGAAATGTTCCAGAACATCTAGCGTCTACGTATGCCAGGTCCCCTCTCTGCCTCCCACAATGAGATGGATAAACCAGCAGATGCTGTGAAACCAGAAACACTGGTCCTGGAAAATCTATGAATTAAAACGTGTTGGAGATGGACGATTCTCTGCAGAGAATTGCTGCAATAAAATAGACCTAAGAAGGAAAGGAAATAAAAGATTATAAATTAGAATAAACGTGTTTGCATTTTATTTGTTTATTAAGAGAATAGATTACCATAAATCACTTAATCATGTTTACTGCATTTTCTTCTCTTTGCAGCAATGAATGCAGTCAGGTGTTACTTATAACTGCTGATAACCTCACAGTGAGGTCATTGAGCTTTAGGGGCTCTATGAGGTTGTGCTACAGTCTCTGTCATCCATCTTTACTGTGTTGTGGGAGTTTGCTTTGGTCTTGATGTCACAGTTCTGGTTCTGTTATGTTTTCTTTTGAGTATCAAGTTTTACTTTGCTCCATGTTTTCTAGTTTTAGTGGTTTAATTCTTATTTTGTTGTGTTTTTCTGTTTTTTTTTTTCCAGGTTTTTATTTGTTGCTCTCTGCTGCCCTCTTGTGTTCTCTTTTTTCCCTAGTTCCTTTCCTGTCTGCTCTGTTCACACCTGCTCCCAATCTGCTCGTTAGTCCTCTCTTTGTTCTGTCTCCCATAAATACACTCTTTGTGCAGTTCCTCAGCGCTGGTTCGTCGTCCAACTTTCTCCAATTCCGTCTCACTGAGTCTTCCTCCTCGTGATTGTTTTCCCCCAGATGTCTCGATGGTTTCTGGTTTGTTTTACTTTGTTTTCCTGCTTGATTTTTGGATTCCTGCCTCAGTGTTCTCTTTACAATTCATTAAATCAACAATAAACTCACCCCTGCCTCTGCATTTGGGTCCACAAACCTCAACCCAATCCTGACACCTGCCTAGATTCCCCCTCTAGTTCTGGCTTCTCAGCTCTGCTCTCCTCGTTTCCCGAGCAAAAACACCTACTGCTGCTAATTAGAAGGAGCTGGTTGAGACTATGAATCATCTCCAAATATATCTGCCTCACTCTGTCCTGCTGCCTATGGAAGCCCGTTTTCCCCACTCTGTTGAAAAAATAAAAATCTCATTATAATGAGATAGTAACTTAAAATAATTAGATTATTTCTCTTTATAATCAGATAGTATCTCAAAATAATGGTATAGTAACTAATTATAATGAGTCAGTGACCTTAAAATGAATTAGATACTATATCTTTATAATCAGATAGTATATTATAATGAGGTAGTAACTCATTATCCATATTATAATAAGGTAGTAACTTAAAACAATGAGATACTATCTCATTATAATCAGATAGTATCTCAAAATAATGGGATAGTAACTCATTATAATGAGATAGTAAATTAAAATAATGAGATCCTACCTCATTATGAGATACTAGGAAACTATCTGATTTTAATATGATGTTTTTTTTTATTATGATTAAATAATTCATTTTTATTTTTTTTATCTTTTTATTTTTTACAGAGGATTCCATAAATGTAAACCTTAGAAAATCTGAGCGTCCCTCATTCCCTGCTCTAATTCACAGAGCGGTTTAAGGCGCCGCAGCGTTTCCTCCGTAAAGCCAGATGGGCTGCTGGCCCTTTAAGGATGATGCAGCGGGACCAGCCGATGTAGGACGAGCTGACCGTCCGCGCGCCCGCGCGCGCCTCCCCCGCCCGCTGCCCGTCCTCATCATGGCCTCCGCTCAGCCCACGGCACCGAGGAGCGACCGACCACCCAGCGGCCCTGCCCTTCCCGCGGCGGACACGGACGTCAGGCCGAAGCAGCGGCACCGGTAGAGGAGAAGCCGCCCCCCCGCCCCGGTCTCCTCCATGCCTCCGTCCGAAGCTAAGCCCAGCTATCCGACAAAGAGGGCTGCCAAGCCGGGCGGCGGCGGAGCCATGAGCCGGGATTATTCCGTTAACCTGTCGGTCCAGCAGGTGCTGAGCCTCTGGGTCCACGGCGCGAGCCTGCAGCACTTCACAGGTAGGGGGGACCGTGGGGGGGTGGCGTCCATTTTAAAAAATGAAATGATTTTAAAAGAAAGCTGCGCTTTAAAGGGCCGGGGAGGGGGGGCGAACCTCCTGCAGATCCTCCTGCAGAACCTCCTGCAGAACCTCCCGCAGAACCTCCTGATGCGTGATGGCTGTTAGAGCCTCCCTTTGTCTCCAGGAAGAGATGAAAAGCTGCAGGTCAGATGAGGGCAGAAGATTCTCCATGGAGATCACTGAGCTGTCTGAGGCGTGAAGGGTTAAAAACCCCCGGAGATGATCTCCTGCCTTCAGTTTGCATCACATCTGCATGAAGCTGCTGCAGAACCATCAGTCATGTTCTGCTCTGCAGGAAGGCCAGCTCTGATGAGCTGCAGTCCTGTGTGGAGGCTTGGCTGCTGTGTCATGTAAACACACCAAACCAGGAGCGGATGTGTTCTCAGCTGCTGTGAGGAGAAGCGCCTCAAAGTTTGCAATGCTGACTCAGCAGAAAGCTGCAGGGTGACAGAGGTTTATGGGGCTGCTGCAGAGCGGCGTGCATGGACCCTCAGACCTTCAGCTGCACAGATTAGCAGCAGCCAGGTGATAAAATCATAACGAGCTCCTGACATATCAGATGGAGAGTTGGAGACGTGAGCAAGAAAAGCAGAAGCAGCTCATTAAGATCCGGGGGCCCCTCTGGTTTTCCTCTCAGGGCCCCTGACAGCTTAAACTAATGCATTTCCTGTTTATGAGATCTGCGGCGCAGCAGTTTTACTTCAGCAAACCATGAAAAGAAGATAAAATACGTGCAGCTGCTGGTGTGCAAACAGACCCACACCGTGTGCGGTTACGCATCTGTTCACTCTACATCTAGGGAAGCAGATTTCACATAAAGACCAAACATGAGGTAAACTCAGCCGTGCCGTTTAAGACAAAACCAAACTTTGCTGAAATATAGCTAGAAGTTTATAAGTAGAACACTTGAACTAAAATAATGTTAATTAAACTAAACCCCAACGGCTGAAATGTGGTTTTAATACAAACTATTTCAGTATTTGTATTTTTGACAAACAGAAAGGAAGTCAAAGGAGGGAAGGATGGACAATTATTTAAAGATAAGTCAACAAGGAGAGGAAACAAAGTTTCAGCATTTTAATTTATTCAACAGCTTTAAATGCAGATTTAATATTTATAAACATAATAAATCTAAACCTTTCAGGCTGTGACCCAGAAACCAGCAGAGACTCTGGAGTCATTCCTTCTGCTCACCATCCGCCCTGCAGAAGATCCAGAAACATCCTGGAGTTCCTCTTGGAGCTGCGGGATTAGAACCAGCAGCTCCGCTAAATCAGAGGGTTTAGAAACATTCTCACAGGAAGTCTGGAAAAGGGAAAAATCGTTGGATTTCAAGATTTTATAGCGTAGTACTTTGTCTAAAAGTTGGTTCCTTTCCTTCCTTCAAGCCTTTGTCTTCCTTCCTTCCTTCCTTCCTTCCTTCCTTCCTTCCTTCCTTCCTTCCTTCCTTCACGCCTTTGTCTTCCTTTCCTTCCTTCAAAA